TGCGCAACCACCCCACCCTTCCGTTCAGCATTCATCAGATCTCCATTCAGAATCTCTGGTATTTTTTAGAATAATTGTTGGTATTTTTTGTATATTTGCGTATTATTTTATACATTACGGGTAGTATCAGAATATGTGCGTATGCCATAATTAGTTCCTTCCTAGTAAATAGTTTTACAATATATGGTCGTAGCTTAATTTATCTCTGAATTGGCTCAGTTTTGTTTTTGTAATAAGAAGCTTAATCTTCCGTTGTTTCCATGTTTGTTAGCTCATCTGACATAGTCAGATGCAGCTTGTAGAATCGCATGAGCGTGCGTCCGTGCGTCCGTGCATCCGTCAACAGTTGGGCACAAATCTTAACCGCTCGACGTACAGTCACGATATTCGGGACGTGGGGGGGTAATTCGAAAACGAGTTGGGATGTCGAAGCTAAGGTTCAAAGGTCAAAGGTCAAAAGTCAAGATGTGTAAAAGAAGGGGGAACATTCCCTCTTTAACTTAAGATATAGGGAGGAAATGCAGAATTGCGGCACAAATCTAAACGGCTCGACCTAGGCTCGTGATAGTCGGTGTATAGCATCATGGTAGGAAAAGCCATCACTGTGCCTAAATTGGAGGTCACAGGTCAAATGTCAATAGGGCACAGGGCAGATTTTAGACATTTTATAAGGACATGGTCTGATGGAGCGATTGAAAAACTTTTTTGTTTCAGCGGTGACCTACAATTTTTAGCTCATCTGACATAGTCAGATGCACCTTGTAGAATCACATGAGCGTGCGTCCGTCCGTCCGTGCGTCCGTCCGGCCGTGCGTCAACAGTTGGGCACAAATCTTAACCGCTTGACGTCGGTCACGATATTCGGGACGTCGGGGGGGATCGTCAAAACGAGTTCGGATGTCGAAGCTGGGGGTCAAAGGTCAAAGGTCAAGAGATGTAAAAGAAGCGGGAACATTTCCTCCTTAACCTAATTGGTATAGGGAGGAAATGCAGAATTGCGGCACAAATCTAAACGGCTCGACCTAGGCTCGTGATAGTCAGTGTATAGCATCATGGTAGGAAAAGCCATCACTGTGCCGAAATTGGAGGTCAAAGGTCAATGGGGGGGCACAGGGCAGGTTTTAGACATTTTCTGAGGACATGGTCTGACGGAGCGATTGAAAAACTTTTTTGTTTCAGCGGTGACCTAGCATTTTTATGGCTTTATTGAAAGGACCACGAAATGTACTTTCTGCTGACATGCGAAGAGTAAGTGTCTGATAACATTTTGACCTTCAAGAGAAGGGTTAAACATGGATTTGTTTACTGTTAGAAAGAATTTGACTGCCGGGTAGGCTAGTAGAATCTATACATGCCTGGATGTATGAGGATACAATGTCACAGTGAAATTTCAAAAGCTAAATTTGGTTGAAGAAGGTTTATGCTCCATAAATCGTATAATTTCTATGGCATTCTGTACTGTCAGTGTGTTACATGTAACTGGCCACTGCCCGTGCATGTGGTGGTGATAGTACGGTGTAGTTTTTGCTTGCGTTAATTAGTTACAGGTGGCAGCTGTCTATTTCGGCCTGTAGGCTTGCGTAGGTAAATGGATGAGTGCTTACCTATTCTGTCTTGCAAATAGTTGTTGCTATACTACGTACGATGAGAGCTTTCATCTTTAATCTTAAGACACTCAAACGTACGCGCCATCTCGTGGCAACTTTCATAACGATCCCAACGAACATTTCTTTGAGAAGGTTCCTGATACCATCCCAGTGTTCGAAATAGGGGCTATCTGTTTCTCCGTACTTGTCCATTTCCACGGAGGACAAGTAGATCTGTCCGGTAGCTTGTCCGCCGGACAAGCAGCTTTTTAGAGCAATTTTTCATAATTTTTTACCATCGCTGGCCGCTGTTGGGAAACCCGAGTTAACATAGTATAAACATGGGCTGCCGGAGTGCCACCCGAATTAACATATAGTATAAACATTTATGTAAAGTTATATAAAAACGTTACCGCCTTGCTAGCTCCACGAAACGGTCTTGCTAGGGTTGGAAGACCATCAGACAATCAGTCTGATAGACAATCAGACATCTGTATAGACAATCGGTCGCACAGCCTCGTCCGGCAGCGCTACCGCCTCGAGAAAGAGAGAAATCGAGAGAGAGGGAGAGAGAGAGCGCGCGAGAGAGAGGAAGAGAGAGAGAGAGAGAAGAAGAGAGAGAGTGATAGAGTGAGAGGGAGAGAGAGAGCGAGAGAGAGAGAGAGAGAGAGAGAGAGAGAGAGAGAGAGAGAGAGAGAGAGAGCGCGCGAGAG